GTCGTGTTTTCCTCAACTTCTTCCTGAAACCCCCTTTTCTGTGCAGCGGTGACCCAAACTCCAGCTGCCATCAAGGATCTGGCCGGCTGGGTAAACAAGATAGTGGCCCAGCGGCCATATTCGGAGCGAAACTGGAAGGAAATCTCCAAAGGTCGGTGGGAGGCGAAAAACCATGGTAAGCCTTCTTTTTGACCGGTAGCGCACCAAGTTAACGCATTTTTTCTCGTATATCGGGAATGCATCATAACCCTCGTGTTTTGCAGGCTTGCCCAAGGACGCGGAGATGAGGTCTTCAATACTATGCCCCCTTCCGGTTCCGGGAGAAAATAAAAGGCCCGGGGAGTCCGGTACGGACGAGCCCCAAAGGAAGATTAAGCGGACAAAAAGGGCCGCCCGCAAACTAAAAAGCCAAATCGTCTTGTCCTCCGAGGAGGAGGACGACAAAGAGGATGACGATGAGGAGCAGCCGGAGCTCGTCCGCCATCGATCCATTCGACCGGACCCCGAGCCGGTGGTCGATCCAGCTGAGGCTCCTCCCGAGGACGTGAGGGTTGAGGATGCTAGTGAACCCTCGGCCCCTGCGCGGGCGTCCCCGGGTACCGATCACCCGGTTACGTCCCCCCCGTCTTCCTCGACTTGGGGGCAGCTGCCGGACGACATCCCGATGATGGGAGGTAGCTTCGAGACCTTTTTTGATGGGGTACCCTCCGCCAACACTTTCGGGCTCGAAACCCCCCGGAAAGACCCTCAGGCCGAATTAAGTGGGACTTCGGCCGTCGACAAGCTTGTCGATAGGTTTCCAGCTCCGAGCCTGGACCCGGACTGTAACAGGATAGTAACTTTTGCTATCCCCAAAGACGTCCGGGCTCTGGGGCCCCCGGTCGGGGTTGCAAGCTATCTTCATCACCTGATGACGGAGGAAGACCGGGCTGCAACCGAGGCTGTAGATTGGACATGCCTTTTCAACGAAGCCCAACAGGCGCAGCTCAAGGTACTTGCTTCTTCCTTTATTTCTAATATTTTTGCCTTGTGATTCAGTACTGACTCTTTAGACTTTTTCTTTGCAGGCATCGGTGCTATATCACTCGATGTTCCTCCGGATCAAGGACAAAATGGAGACGGAGCGAGAGGGGCGCCGGGTCCTTGAAGAAAAGCTGCTAGAAAGCCGGACCGGATTGGACCTTTTGAACAAAGAGCACGCGTCCTGTGCTATCCGGCTGGAGGAAGCGAAGAAAGAGCTTGGTTATAAGCTAAGGGGGGTGCAAGCCGAGCTTAATCGGGTTAAGGCCGAGCTTGACGAGAGCAGAGCCGAACTTGATGAGAACAAAGCCGAACTGGAAGCCCGGGTGCAACAGTTGGAGTCAGAGAAGACTTCCCTTCGGAAAGAGGTTGCGGACTTGACGTTGGCCAATGAGGCTCGAGTCCTTGAAATTGAGCTATGGACCAATCGATTTCAGGAAGCTGAGGCTAAAGTTTCCCAAGCCGAGGAGACTGCCAACGATCTGGTGGCCCAATATAGGGCCGATGCTGATGCGGCCAACCAGCAGTCAAGAATGTTAGCCGAATATGCGAAGTGTCAGGCCCGGCTTGAAGTTCTTACCGAACTCCAACGTCGCGGTTTCGATCTTGCATCGGACGTCACCAAAGCCGCCGAAGCTGAGGACGCTTCGAGAAGGGCGACGTTCCCCGAAGAATTCGAGGATGGCTCTGATTGACTCCGGGAATAGGCTAGGCTTTGTTTTGTTTTCCCCCCTTATGTAATTGCTCCGGTAGCGAGCTTTTTTATAAAACATTGCCCTTTGCCATCTATTGCTCCTTTTTCAATCTTGTTATTACTTTGCCTTTTTGGAACGATGGTAGTCCTTTATGTTCTTCGAAGTAGTCTCCGAGTGAATGTATTCGAACTCAGGTGAACTTCGACCTTTGGGTTTTCTCAAGGCAGTCCCCGAGTGAGTTGATTCGAGCTCGGGTGAAGTCTAACCCTTAGGTTTTTTCGAAGCAGTCCCCGAGTGAGTGTATTCGAACTCGGGTGAACTTCGACCTTTGATTTTCACAAGACAGTCCCCGAGTGAGTGGATTCGAACTCGGGCACAATTTGACCTTTAGGTTTTGTATCGATTCTACGCCTTTTTCTTAAGGTCTTACAAATTCGAGTATACTTCGCCATTAGTGAAGTCGATGATGAGGCCAGTATTACCTCTTTTGAGATTTTATGAATTTGGACCCGCCTTCTCGAGGACTTATGGTTGAAATAATGCCTTATCGAGGCCTTACGAATTTCGAACTCACCTCTGAGGTCTTACAGTTTTATGTGTCGCCGTATTAAGGTCTTATGAGCTTGGACTTGCCTTGTTGAGGTTTTTATAGTTTAAGTGTTGCCTCATTGAGGTCTTGTGAGTCCGAGTATGCCTCAATGAGGTCCTATGTGCCTAAAGGAGGTCTTATGTGATCGAATATGCCTCGGGGAGGTCGTTATGTTCGTAATGTGTCCTCG